AATGGTGATAAATTAAAATGAACTGTTTAAATAAAGTGAACAGTATCGTAAAATCTTTTTTTTTTTTTGTAGATTTAGAATCTAAAATATAAGATTTTAAAATCTAAAATGTCTTTAATAATCAGGCATGTTTAAAATAATTCAAATGTCATATATAACATGCATATGGTTTTTGGTGCATTTGTTTCATGAACAGAGAGCAACTCAAAATGTATTGACTTTCTCTAGGACTTTCTCTCAGCAACCCTTTAGTTCATGAATCACCTTTCATAGAGTTTCAACATTTGCCCAGTTCCTAAAGCAATACTACCACCAAAGTCACAGAACCTTCTCAATATCTAATGTTAAAAACATGCACAACTCTGAATATTGGTTCCTTTACCAAAGATGATCTTTTCAAGGCTGCCAGTATTCACACATGGCTATACATCCATACATAAACCTATGCATCAGAGACAATCTCTAAATCTACATGCTACCTATCAGATGAGATTTCATTAGGCATATTTACTTTAAAACATTCTGTTAGATTTGTTTGTTCAAGAAAATTTGCCATGTTCTATGTAACATTTAGCTTGTTTTAATTCTACCTCTGAAAAAAGCCCAGTTGTGCCATGAGGAATGTTGTACATTTAGGATAAATGTAGTAAACAATCACAAACATTAAATGTTTAATTATACAATATGTTTAAGTATGTTTTGAAGAACTGTGACAAAAATAAGTAGATTTAAAATGCACACAATATATATGTTGTATTATACTAAACTACTTAAAAGTCATTTCTAAGATATACATTTTTTTGTGATTTTAAGATTAGAGAGAGCAGAAACTTACTTGATTCCACAATTGGTTTCGTGCCATTTGCAAAAATAAGCTTGTCATTCCCTCTAGTCACACAAAGTTACACACCATAACAGAAACTCCCTGTAACTGCCTCAAACCCATCTTACAGTAATTTTGAAAACATAGAAATGTTTTCAAATGTTCTGTATTATAAACGGAGTAAATATATGTAAATGTATATGTTAATATATGTATATATGTAAATATATACATAAATGTCACTTTCTTGTTTTACAGAAAACTTAAATGCAATAAAGAATTATAAATCTCACCTGATTCCACTATAAGTTTTGTACCGGAGCCAAAGATTATCTTATTGATTCCCTGGTCATTCACACAACACTAAACACCATGTCAAATATCCTTAAGTGCAAACAAATTCAACTGATCTACATTTCTATGTGCAAACTCAAAACTAAGCATTTAATTTATATGCTTTGAATTATCACAAGTGATGATGATCATCATTGTCACGAATGCCTACTGTGAGGAGTGAGGAACGCAGGGACGAGGGAATATCACAAACAACAGTCATTAATAGTCCAAAAACAAGGGTTACACAGAGCTGGCTGGAGTCACACGTAGTACATCACAACGTTCAAGACCCGACAAGGAAACATGGGGCAGACTACACTATAAATACTAAACTTAATGAGGGATAATTAACGAACACAGGTAAATCAAATGAAGCAATCACACAAGGGAGAAACTGGGTCACGGGGAGCACATGGGGAGGAAAACACACACAGACAGTCCAGTGGCGTGACAATCATCACTCATTTCACTACCCTTAAAAAAATAAAAAATTTAAAATGTAGTTTCAAGCCATTGTTTCATGCTATAAAGCAACAATAAAAGCTATTTAAAATAATACTCACTGGTCTGCACCATTAACTTTGTTCCAGATCCCATTAAGAACTTGGAGCCAGAACCAGACGTCCACAGTGTTGCATTCTCAGACATAAAACCTCTTCACACAAGATACAGATACAGATAGTTTAAAATGGTATATCTACAAATCTTAATTTACCAAATATTCAGGATCAATGATAATATCTTAAAATGCTCACTATACTTCTATTTTTGTACATTTTTTATATTTTCCCCTATATTTTCGAATTATCAAATGCAAAAAAAAAAGAAGAAAAAAAGTTTGAACATTTCAGGACAGAAGGATTTTTACAATTTATCTCTAATTTGACTTGAAACACATAATAATGAAGTCAAGAGTCTTAAGTAGCCATAGAAAATCAATGACAGCTTTAATTAAAGCTGCAAGCAGCGATTAAAGTGCCCTCGCACCCGGGCTCACCGCCACCCGGTGGCTTTAGGAAAACAGCTAACGGTGGGCAATATGCATTTAAAGTGATAAATATAGGAGGAATATGTCAAAGTCATTTATGTGTGCCAAACTTCCTACTTCCAGCTGGTGCCGCTATGACTGTAACTGAATGTTGGCATGTAGATGTCTTCAGACCAGGACTTTTATCAAATCTGTGAAATTTGGTGCAGATTGGACATGGTATGTTTGAGTAAGTGTAAAACATGAAATGTGCTGTTGCCAACAGATGGCGCTGCAAATTATAACTGAATATTGGCATGTAAATGTTTTCAGGCCAGGACTCTTATCAAACATGTGAAGTTTAGGGCAGATCAGACATTGCATGTTTAAGTTAGTGTGAAACAAGTCATTTCCTCTTGCCAGCAAGTTGCGCTATAATTATAACTGAATATTGACCTTTAGATGTGTTCAGGCCAGGACTCTTATAAAACGTGTGCAGTTTGGGGCAGATTGGGCATTGCATGCATGAGTTACAACAACTTCCTGTTTCATGGCATTAATAGCATGCTTTAAGTGTTGCTAGCATATTTTAGCATGTTTCTAACATGTTGGCAGCCTATTTAAGACTTGCTGACACTTTTTAATATGTTGCTAGGAGTCCATAACAGTGTTAAACATGCCACTTCCTATTGGCAGCAGGTGGCGCTATGACTATAACTGAATACAGGCATGTAGATGTGTTCAGGACAGAACTCTTATCAAACGTGTGAAGTTTGGGGCAGATTGGACATTGCTTGCCTGAGTTACAGCAACTTCCTGTTTCATGGTGAAACACCGAATTTTGTCAGGCCGCCAGGGACACACCCTTCGACGTAAACTCAAGATCTTCACAATTTAGCATCGCAAAGGCCTTATGATAACACTCAGCAAATTTGAAGATGGTCCGATTAAAACTGTAGGAGGAGTTTGTTAAAGTACGAGGCCGGAATATGGCAAAAACTGCACAAAAATAGTACAGGAAATTCAAATAACGGACTTCCTGTTGGGTTTTCGGATTTTGTGCCAAGAGACTTTTTTGTAGGTATTAGTGTGTTACATGTGTCTACCGAGTTTCGTTCATGTACGTGAAACTCGAGGCGCACGCCGTTGAAATGTTATAGGTGTCGCTATCGAGCCATTTTGCCACACCTAGGGCCTAATTCTGAAACCCATATCAGACATCAATTTTCGCCACCTCTGACGCGTGTGCAAAGTTTCGTGAGTTTTTGAGCATGTTTAGGCCCTCAAAAATGTGATTAATTTTGCAGAAGAAGAAGAAACTGAGCAATTCCAACAGGGTCCTCACACCATCGGTGCTCGGGCCCTAATAATATCATGCATCAATGATCATGATGCCAAAACCCCTCTAATACATTTAAACGTGAAATTGTGGTAAAACAAATTTAATATATACATTCAATTCTGAAACAGTTGAAATCCTTACCTTAGTGTCCCTACTCCCAGTTTATATCAGATCCTGGAACATGTTTGCACTTCCTCTGTAAGAAACAGTGTATTAAATGTATCAGTGGGTTTACCTGCACATCTCAATCTTTGTTGAATAATCAATCCAACCCAGAGAATTAAAATGACACCTGCCCAGCAGAACGTTTTATTTTTGGTGAAGACAATCATTCAAATGAGAAATATAAGGTAACTCACCTCTTCATATAGACATCAGTATTCTACTGGCCTAGTTTTAACGTAACATGGCATTATTTCTTCATTTCTGTGAACCTAGACGCAGTGTCTGAAATAATAGGCTAATATTGACATATGCTTTACTCGGTTTTGTTTTGTCAAAGCAAAGTAAAACTAAATGTTTTTGTTGTCAACGCATATTAACAATAAATATCGTATTTTAAGCTCTAAATTAACGTTTGTGCTCGAACAAAACACTTAATATTGAGTGCCTCTTTGTATTCGATGGAGCTAAAACAAACCTTTAGGATAGTTAGCGACGCCACCATAGAAATGTGCTATTTACAGAGAGCTAAGATACAATTTATTCTGTGGTCGAAAGTGTCTTCTAACAGCGGGGTAAAGAAAACAGGACATGAGCCAGGCCGACTCGAGCCAACCAACAGCTTTTGCAAGTCTTGCATGTTCACACACAGGCACAAAACGTGGAATATGCGGAAGCACATTGGATGCGTATGAAAATTCGGCCACTAGAGGTCACTCAAGCCTGCATGTCAAAACAAACGGCAAAATCCCACTAAAGGCCACAAGAGGGCAGTACACTTCATCTCATAGTCTTAGATGAGTAGCAAGCTCAGCTCACCGTTTTGATGAAAGAGAGTGAGAAAATGTGCTCTCAATAGACTTAGTAACTTAAATGCCATCATCAAAACAGTGATTTGACAAACTATTTTGTAGAATATTTATTTTTAAATCATTTTATGTAAAAGTTAATTAATTAATTACAACGAAAAATGCCCCCAAAACTGTAGCTGTAATACTTTACAGCTGTTTTTCTCTTTCTATAGCCTAAAACAGAGAAGAAAAACTCGGCAACAAAACATTCTAATTCTTGGAACCCAAAGCGAGCAGTATATCTTTATCTGAAACTGTGGTTAGACTCTGCCTCCGGTGCGAATATGCCGTTGAAACTGTGGTTTAGACATACTCACATGAAACTTCTCTTTTAGCAAGACATTTTATTATTTAATATATTTTTGAAAAATCATTTTACATGCAAAGACCAGAGCCTCAATAGTTAAGTCAAATAGTTATGTTACACAATTAGACCATGTAAAAGTCTTAAACAATGCAATACTGTATTGTAAAAAAATATATATTTTTTTTTTTAAAGTATTAAAAAATTAACTTGCACTTGTCTGCAACTAAAGCTGAAAATACATACACCATAGCAAAGCAATTTGCACATTATACCACTGAATTCAGAAATGTTTCTAAAAGTTTGCAATAAAAGTTTTATCGATATTCTGTATATTTGAAATACATTACTAACAATTTGTATTTTTCATTCCATGTAACATTATTAGAGAGAATATATAAATAGTGACCCTGTGGCTGACTATAATCGCATTTGTTTGTTTGCCATGGATATTTGATCAAGTTATAGTTACAATTTTTGATTATTCAGATGATTTGGCTGAATTGAACTTTTAAAATATGAATGCCTTCACAGTCATCAATGCATTAACTGCGACACATTTAGCAAGCAGAATTCTCAGACCTGTCACAAGAAGATTCATGGAGTTCATTTTTGGATCACCTGAAAAAATGTAAACAATAAATTAATCATCCTTTGATATTAAATGAATTTAAATCTTGTAAATCATGGCGCATAATGTAGATCAATTCACAAATGCAAGCTATACATGTAGAATATCTTATGTATTTTATTACTAACCAGTGTTTATGAACTCTGAGGCATCAGTACTAAGACTTGTTTGACAAGACTGTGGAGTCAGTTTTTGGGGTTTTTCTGCAGAATAAATATTAATTCAATATTCTTTATATATATTTTATATGTACAAAAAAAATTTTTTTTTTGAAATGAAATCACATTAGATTTTTTTTTAAAGAAACAATAATTATCCATTTAAGTACAAACCTGTCGTGTCAGGAGTGTCAGGAGTGCCAAGAGTTTTGTTTGCTGTTTGTCCATCCATTTCGCATTTTTGCATTTTTTCACCATTGAATCCAGCATAATAATAGGTTTTGGTCGATTTAAACAAGGGTGCTTCGCTGGTGGTAAGACTCACAGGTTTATTAACTCCCACAGTCAAAGTCATAGTCTTATCTTCAGGAAAGAACCCGGCGGCCAGACAAATATCCTGTCCATCACCCTTCAAAGGGGACAAGATGGTCAGAAATGGAGGAGTTGCCAGTGAATCTTCTGAACAAACAAAAATAAGCAGTTTTCATCAGAATTTCAATCCTTTGGCAAGACCGTACTTTTTACACATGTGGCAGTTGCAAAACTATGCTCATGATGTCAGTGAAAAAGTCTTGCAATCATCTATTCATGCACAAAACATCCATAGTCTTAAGAACAAATGCAATTACTCTGCTAGAGAACATCCCAAGTCAGACGCAGAACGCAACACAGCAGCACAACTAACTAACCAACTGTTTCAAGCTATTTTGTGGGGTTTTTCACTACTTTCTACAGCACATATGTTCGTGTAAACACTTGGAACAGTTACAAAAAAAGTACTTACTTGGTACGACCTTGAGGGTTATCGGCTTTCCGAATGTTAAGGTGTCAGTAGCTGAAAATGCACCGTTACCGTAACCCTTACAAAAACGATCCTGACCCTACATCAGCATTAGGACTGACAAACTGACCTAACTGTAACTACAACTAACTGCCCAAAGTTCACGTTTTCACAAAACCAGGTGTATGGTTTGGAAAACTGCATTCTAATAACATTGAAAGTGGATTTACTTACTTGGTTTGACCGTGAGACGGATGGGATTCCCAAAGGTTAGTGGGTCTGCACTTCATTCAGCCCTCTGACAATATCCTTTGGTAATTGAAAGTATCCTAACATCTTAAGAAATACACTATAGACTCATCTGGACTTTTGATGTGAAATATCCAGTCGAAGAAATCCAGTTTGATATTCTTTCAAAGGCAATTCCATCTGTCAGCCCATCCTCATGATATACCCATGTCTGCACCATTCACATACAAACAGGTGGCTGGAACAAAAGCCTTCAAGACGAAAACAACAAGACTGAGAGAATAGTTCTGTGATAGTTCAGTCTTTCAGTCAGATATTGGTTTAAATTTATCAATACAGTTTATACACAGAAATAACAGTGATATGAGATTTTGTACAGCGCCTAATGAAGAATGTATCACTGTGGTCGTCCCAACACGATGAAAAACGTCAGTACAAAAACCCATGCCCTCTATTGAGGGGTTGTCTTATACAGAAGAGAGAGAAATGCTATCATCTGAACAATCTTCTCAACAGACATATTTGAATAAAACTGCTGTTAATGTTAAACATCCATATCCATGAGATGAAACCCCAAGCTGCAGTGGAAGTCTTCACGTCTAAGATGACAGAACAACCTCAGAAGAATTATTCAGTGCAGTGGCAGCCAATTAAACTCTGTGAGGTTTTTGTATGAGGCAAAACCAGAACTTAATCACTGTGGAAACCCAGTCCACAATGACACAACTCGAAACAAAAACCATCCTCCTCTGTGTGATAGAATCACTTCAGAATAACTAAGCACAAATATAAGGAGAAATTGGCACCTGAAAGACCACCTCAAAGAAAACCCTTTAGAAACAGAACATTTGTGAAAATAATTGGTCTTACCTTACATTAGATCTCTTGTGACAATGTAAGTATCCAGCTTAAGAATAAAGTAAGTGAGGACTATTGAACATATACTTGACGTATTACTTTATGGAGCTGTTCGTATTTACATAATTACTTTTTATAATTGCATATAATTACTAGGTAATATTAATTATATTAACATAATAGTTGTAACACAGGCACTATAAACTGTTGTTAGATTAATTTTAAGTATGTCTTTTTTGAGTTGACACATGCATCACACAAGATACAGTTCAAGTTCTTGAATTTACTTTCACGATTATATATGAACAAAAAATGGATGGATTTACCTGTCCTATTAAGAGAATAAAGCTGGTGAAGATAATAAAATGTCATATAATATATATATATAATATAATATTTATAACTCAATATATATATATATATATATATATATAAATAAGTTTGATGGCAATGGAACATACAGCTCTGGTTCTTAGTGCATTTAATTGCTATTACTTTGAATATGATTATGATATTCGTATAACATTACATAACATAACTATCCCTCCCAAATTACACAAACACAATGATGTTCAAATGATATCAGTGCAGAAAGAACCAGAGCAGATGTATGTTCACATTGATTGTTGCTTATTTGGATTGGTTGGATTTGATGAGTTCCTTATTTCTAAAATAGGAAAATTATAAGAAAATAAAAGCGGAGTTATATTTGCACAGTAATAAATAACTTTTCTTCTCTTATGCACATTATGAAATATATTGGGGTTCTTTCATACCCTCCACAAACTACTCGGTGTTGCAGTCTGACGCATCTACATCTGCAAACTAATCTATGTAATTAAGCAAATTATTAAAAAAAAACAAAAAACCTGAGGCTAGAAAATGCTTCTTCTTTACATCATCTTTGCATATTGCAAATAAGGCACTTCTAGGAAGAACAGATGACACAATATGCATACTTCTGACTGTGCTGACTGGGTTCATAATTTAATTGTTAAAATCCTATATTTGGTTACTATCTAATAGTACACAGAGAGAGTGCACTTAGCCTGGTGAAAGTTTGACCACTACTGCAAACAGATTCAGTAATGTACAGTTACAAATACAACAGTTGTATTTCATACACGTTAATTATTGCATTTAATAATATAAATTAAATTAAAAATGTATAGTAACAACGTATGTATTATGTATGATAGCTACCAGTTAACACTGTATGAATCTGTGCTTTATGTTAACCTTTAATCAACAACCTAGAGATAAAATAGTATTATTAGTTTAAATTCAAAAACACTGATTCTGGCTCTGATTGTAGCTTGTAGAATAAATATTAATATTACAATTTATATTAAAATCAGGCAATTTGAGTTTGTAAATGATTTGTGGTAGTGTGTTAAGGGCCATCAGGCCATGACTGAGGGTCTGGTCAAACTGAAGCTAGAAAACAGACATGCATTTTGAAATCAAATAACATGTGAGTTTTTGCAGGGGCTTGTCAAAGATTGATTCAATGTGCCCCCGAGTACACACTGAAATATTCTGTGGCAAAAACGGTTCAATAAAACTTGCATTAAGGAGAGAGATGATAAGGCAGCTGGTGTGTGTGGTAAGATGATCTTCAACCACTCTGGTTTCCTGTCAGGAAGTGGGTGAGGAGCTGAGAGACGTTCTAAGAACAACCCCATCCCCTTCCATTTCTAGACAGCATCAAGTTCACAGTTCATTCCTCTGTGATTTACAGTAAACCCCATTTCCCCCTCAAGTAAGTCAATTTTATACCAAATCAAATGTACGGTAATTAACTGGATAGTGACAAAATAAAAAATAAATGGTAACGCTTACAAATAGGGTTCCATATGTCTACATTAAATGTTAATTAGTTCATTAGTTGTCAAACAATGAATATTTCAACAGCATTTATCAATATAGATTGTTAATTTCCACACGCATTTCAAGTTGTATAAATCAACATCTATCTATTATGAAAAAAGAAAATAAAAATAAAGAATACATTTATAAATTTAACCAAAACATTTATAAACTTTAACCAAAATTAACACTGTAAAAATTGTTGGCGATTGTTAACTCATGATAACTAATGTATTAAATCAACTGTATGTAGTTTTGTGCATTTTTCGACTTTGGAGCCCCCTACAGTTAAGTTAGTGGAATTCACTTCGTAAATAAATCACAGTTGTTATTACTGTGGATTTGTTGCTGTAGTAAAGCACGGAAATGAAATTTCGTACCCGCTCACTAAACTCCCAGCAGGAGTAAATACAGCAGGTTATCAGGTTCCAATACGCTATCTGTAAGTATTAATGTGTGCAGTGAAGCACTTATATGGCTGTTGCATTTGAGATTTGCCCTGTAGAAATTTCCAGAATGCACCATAAAAACCAATGTGCACTGACCAGAGATTTTCTTACAGAGTTCAGAAATTAAGCAACGATCAAAGCATATTTCATAATAGTACTGAACATTTTGAATGGCTACAATAAAGGATATTGGGTCAAGGCGTAATACCAGCTGTTTAAATGCATGCAGCTTTTAGTCGTGTTGCGGTAACGCGGTAACAGTCATCAGTGTCCCTGACATGCACGTGTCTGTGATTCACATCATGAGGAACTTCAAGGTAGAATGAGAAAGTGTGAGGTACAGAAAAGACTCAAGTCTGCGTATGAGGACATGGTTTATTTTATTAAAGGCATAGCTGATTCCAGAGTTTACAAGTGTCCACAAAGAGACAAGAACACAATAAATCAAGCCCATTATAGAAGGAGATATCCTCACCCCCAACTATTCCCTGACAAAATCCTCTAAAAAACAAACAAACAAACAAACAAAACAAAAAACTTGACTGGATATCTCCCTCATTCAAAATACAAGGCATTCTGAAAGATGGATTTCATGCAGAATCAGTGACAGACTGAATTTAGGGTTGGGAAAAAACTCTTAGTGATAATTTTAATGTAAAAAGCTGGTTATTATATTTTCTTTTAGCTTTACTATTGGAATGTTATATTACGGCCCAGAGGCGCAAGGCTGTTGTCCTGTGATCAGCATTGTAATGTACATCACTACAGAAGCCACAGTTTAAAAAAATGGATACTGGACAACAGGGAAAAATCCACATTTACAATGCAATGAGATACAGGGTATCGAAAAAAAGCACATTCACACAAGACTGTGCACCACAAGTCCATCCAAAATAAAAGAATGTTAGGCGTCCACAGCAACCAATCAGAGCACAGGCTTCTGAAACTCCTTGCTGAACGATTCTAATGGGAAAACAAAAGATGAACAAAATGGGGCGTACAGCTCCCACTGAAACTTTGCTCGTAGATTTTTTTTCTTCTGCAAATGATACTTTGACCTAACTCAACTTTTAAGGTTCCATTTAATTATTTATTCCTCTATTTTTTAATACAATTTTAAATGCAACAAGAGAAGCACAATCACACGGCAAATAGACACATCATTTAAAGTTCGTCTTTAATAAAATGTTCTCTACTCAAAAATAAAAACAGGCTTTATTCTCATCATACAAGAGAGTACGTCTTTCATATAACCTTCGCCAAACAGAAACATCTTACTTAACCAGGAAGAAATAACCACTGTGAATGCTTTATAGATATTTCAGCTTATCCAACACAAACCCCTGGCCCCAGAACATCTCTACCAATCAGTGGCACCCACACAAGGTCTCGAAGGCCTACTCAGTGCTATATCCTCTACTGAAAAGAGAACAGTTACGTTTTCAGAACAATATTTGCTTTTTACTTAGAAGAAAAAACCAAACAGGCTGCAAACAGGGTGTCTATGGTGACGTGTCCCTTTTCTAGCTTGAGAAACATGGCCACGTGACGCTAACCTGAGGCAACCGATGATATACGTTACAAGATTTCAGAATGAAGCAGTGATCGGGCTTGATGCTCTTCCTCAGAGACGACTTTTTAGTGCTAAGCGTAACGGGAGCTGAAGTGTCCTTTCGGAGGTACGTTCTGTGGTTTTTAAACTGAGTACAGTGGCTGTGGAGATGGTACCTGAAAGGAGAACAATTCAGTGGCTGTGAGGTT